AAAGTTGTAACTCTATATCAAATAACACTTAATAATAACTTTCAGAAAGTAGAAGAAAAGAAAATCACAATTTGTTTTATGAGGCCAATATTAAGATTCCTAAACCAAACAAAGATACTACAAGAAAACATGACTATAGGGTCATAAACTTCATGGACATAGATTTTAAAAAATCCTTAAGGAAATAGCAAATTGATTCATGACCAAGTGATGTTTGTCTTGTGAATATAAGATTGGTTTAATAGCTTAAAAATCCAATTCTGAAATTAATTGATGTAAATCACTATATTAATGTTTTCCTTAGAAAAAAAGTGATAATTGCTTAAATTGATTCAGAGAAAGCAAAGCATCTAACAGATGCTTTCCTGATAAAAAAGTGTTGTTACTAGTTTTCTGAGTTTCTAACAGGAAGCATCTAATCAGAGAAAGCTTTTCTGATAGAAATTCAGAAAACTAGTAACAGAAGAGAGTTTCTTCAACATGATATGGGCGTCTCTGAAATAGCTAACATACTCAATGGAAAAGGTTCAATATTTTCTATCTGAGATGAGGAGAAACAGGGCTAAGATGTCAACTCTCACTCTCACCCACTTATTTTACATTGTTCTGGAGGTTCTAGCCTTTGTAGTAAAGTAAGACAAGAAATAAAAGGCATGCAGATTAGAAAAGAAGTAAAATTGTCCTTATTTGCAGATAACATCATGTATATAGGAAACCCTAAGGAATCCAAGAGTCAGCTTCTAGAACTAAATTTAGGAAGCTCCCAAGATACAGTATTAATATACAAAAATCAGTAAGAATGAGTAATTAGAAAATGAAATTAAAAAACAATTTATAATAACATGAAAAATCTTAAGATTAGATTAATAGATAATATGACTGAGAAAGAAGAAAAAGTTTATCTAAATAAATCCCAAGTGATATATCATGTTCAATCAGAAAACAGTATTGTCAAGATGGAAACCTCCCCAAATTGGTCTATAGATGAAGTACAATCCCAACTGAAATTTGGAAGCTTTTTTGAAGACACTGACAAACATATTTCATAATTGGCACAAAAAGCAAAAGGCTCCAGAATAAACAAACATTTTTTGAAGAACAAAGTTGGAAGACTTAACATTTCCTCTTTTCAGAGGATTACTCTACAACTACAGTAATCAAGACATTGTATTGGCCTGATAATAGATCTATAGATCAATGCAACATAATAGAGACTAGAGATAGACACATATGGTCAATTGGTTTTTGAAAAAGATGCTAAAATTATTCAATGGAGAAAAATACTATTTTCAGCAAATAGTGCCTGGAATATTTAGATATATTTAGGTGAACAAAATCTTGAACCTTTCCTCATACCATACACAAGAATTTAAATAAGTTGTTTATACACCTAAATAAAAAATCCAAAACTATGGAACTTCTAGAAGAAAACTTAGAAAATCCTTGTGACCCTGGGTTAGGCATATGCTTCTTAAGTGCACAAAGACTGTCAACTGTAGAAGAAAACACTGATAAAATAGAACTCTTCACAGTTAACTTTTGCTTTTCAAAAGATATATACAAAAAGGCAAGTCAGACTGGGAGAAAAATTTTCAAAATATTTAGGATGAACAAGTTTGCAGAATGTGTAAACAACTCTTATGACTCAATAACACAAACAATGTAATTAAGAAATGGGCAAAATATACGGATAATCACAAAAAAAGATGTGAATGGCTAATAAGCACATGAAGCGATGTTGTTTATCAGAAAATTGTACACAAAAGCACATTCAGTGTGACTACACATCCAATAGAAGGGCTACAGTAAAAAGAATTGACAATATCAAGAGTTGACAAGGATGTGGAGTGTCTCAGTCTGCTTGACTGCTATGCAAAATACCATAGACTGGATAGTTCAAACAATGAAAATTCATTTCTCAGAGTTCTGGAGGCTGGGAAGTCTAGGAGCAAGGTACACTTTGACTTGGTTCCTGGTTAGGACTTCATAGCTTGCAGATTGCTGCTGTTAGCAGTTTCTTCACTTGGCTTTTCCTCCATGTTCCCATGCAGGGAGAGAACAAGCTCTCTGGTACCTCTTCTTGTAAGGGCAGTAATCTCATCACTGGGGCCCTACCCTCATGACCTCATCTAACCCTCATTGCCCAAGTCAAGATACGAAATACTCTCTAATTTTTTTCCTTTACCTGTTTAACCCATTCCCCCCACCCTCCACCCCTATGGTAACCACCATCTGTTCCCTTTGTTTCTGAGCCTATTCGTGTTTAAAATCTCAAGTTTTATGACTAAAAATAATAACTTGTGGGGAAGAAATTCTGGTGAACTCTCACATTCCTTAGAAGATAGATGTTATGGGACCTGTAAATGCACATGTAAAAATAGTTTTCTTGTTCCCTTAAGGGCTAAGGTTTTACGTGATGGTTTAGAATTTTTTAATGCAGTTTGGAAACCCTCTGAAGGCTAGGTATCTGACTGAAAATTCATCAGATTCTTAACTTTGGTTAATTAGAAGTTACAAAATTTGCGAGATTATCTCCAGAGTGATGTAGCATGCCTTTTTCTCTTACAGTTGGAATCAACAGGACTAGGCCTTAGTAGTAGTAGACTAAGGACAACTCTAAACAGAATACAAGAAAGCCTTATTGATCTGGTAAGTAATCAATTAGAATCAATTCTTTGAAGTTAATGTAAAAAAGAAATTAGCCGTCCAATCATCGACGTATGTATGTATCTCTATATATATATTGAATGCCTGAGTTTTTAATATTATACTGAGTTCTTGTAGGAGGTAAAATGGAGGCTTCTTATGGTCTGATTAGAGTGAAAACTAGTATACATGAAAAAATACATTTTAGTTATACATTCAGTACAAGTTCAATGACAGGACAAGTTTATGTGAAAACTGGATGTCAGTGAATGACTAAAGGAAGAAAGGAGACTTGTGGTAGTCTGTGAAGATTAGGCATGGGATCACTGGGGAAAAGAAGAAGGAACAGCATTCAAATTAAGGTTCAGAGACTGAACAAGAGCCTTGCTGTGGGAGGAAGCTCGGCCCGGTTTGGCAGTCTTTTGACTGGGGCACTGGTATATGTTGAAGAGTTGTGTTGCTGAGAGTGGAAGTACTTTATAAATGGCCTTGAGATTCAAGGAGAAAGTTTGGGTATGGTTGGCTTTGTAGTAGGGAGTCCAGATTCTTGACTGTTGTGTCACATGATATAATGCATGTTTTAAGAAAATAGGTTGGGTAGCAAAACAGGGCTGATCCTCTATAGTGTTTAAGGTAACAAACATTTAAAATAGGAGAATTTCTTGTGGTTGGCCATGTTGTTCAGCATGTTTCTCTGCATTTGCATTAACCCAGGATTCTCTGAATGTTCCTTTATTCTGTCACCTACACAAATAAGCAGTCATTTTCCTCTCTTCTCATAATCTATATTATGTGCATGCTTCTGTTACTGAAGCTTTTGTATAGCAATGTAATCCTCCTTTTAAGAATACTTACTGAAATAATTATTACATGTCAGACATTGTTGAAGTACTAGAAATTTATCAGTGCACAAAAAAGGTAATTCCTGTCTTTGAAATTTGTATATATTGGGATAGAAAGACAGACAAATATATGACATAGTGTCAAATACTGATAAGAACTAGGAAGAAAGTGAAAGCAGAGTGATAGGTCGCATCTTTGAGCAGCCATGTGAGTAAAGTGAGAGAGGAATGTACTGATATTTAGTGAGTGCTCTTTACATAGAGGAAATAAACTGTATCCATCTCATCTACCTCCCTGACCATTTCGTAAGATCTTTTTGTCCAGCACATATTTTTATATATTTCTATAGTATATGTATATTTTATAGCACTTACCTTGCTACACAGCATTTCTTCAGTAAATGTTCATAGAGTAAATGAATAAACTCCAATCCAGTTTCCTGTCTTCTGGCTTAAACTGGTTTGTTTTCTTGGCTCTGCTATGCATTTATTCCTGAACTTCATTTCCAGAGTCAGGGCTTCTTGTTTGACCCAGCCATGTGTATTTTTGTTGTTGTTGTTTGTTTTTGGTCTTTGTTTTGAAAAATTTGTCAATCCCATTGGTAGTTATCTGTGTTTTGTTTTTGCTTCTCCTTGTTTGATACTTAGTATAACCTTGAGCAACAGGTCTTGTTTTCCAGATTAGTCCACAGGTTATATTTTTCTTGTTTCTGGCTGAACACCTCAAAATTGATGGGCCTAGTGGTTGTAACCAGAAAGTCCAGAGCCGGGTGTAGTTACCTCCAGAACTCACCCCTGCTGAGCTAGCCTAGCCTTCATGACACTCATGGGGGTGGATTCCTTGATAATAAAATGACAACAGTACATTTTTAAAAAGACTGATGGGCCAAAATTTACCACTAGAGTCATCGCTCTGGTGTTTCTCTGTCATTTCTGCTAGTTACTTATGATTGTTAAACCATGGTTCCAGATTTGACCCTTAAGGCACAGATTTAATGCTTTAGATTTTGCTGTATGGTGTATAATGAAATAGCATGACCACACGAGCAGTGGGACTGAACTAGCTGTTCTTTGAGACCAGCTTCCATCCATGTACTGATAATAATGTGTCTATAGCATTTGTCTGACTTGTTCTGTGTTCATTGGATAAAGTTTTTTCCTGAACTGATAGTAATCATATTCAGAGCTATGTTTTTGAAAATCAACTACACCCCTCTCCCCAATAAATAAATAGATAGATATGCCTGCTATTTCCTTTGGCACATTGTCTTTTTAATATATGTTTTAAGTCTTTATTCTTTTCATCTCTTAAGTCAAAGACTGCACCTTAAATCAGAAGACTGTATGAGCAGTTGTTCATTTCTCCTTCAGTTTGGAAGGAGCTGACCTTTCAAAGGGGTTCTCCAGAATCCTTACCCCTCTGGAAGATAAGACTATACAGCAATACAGGGGAAGTTTTTCTGAAACTTTCTATTGATTTCTAATGTTTTACATGTTAAATTATTACTCATACTGATAAGCATTGTTTTATTAGTTTAGAAAATACATAAAATACACTTGTCATTTATTAGACCTGCTCTCAGGTTTTCATAAGCTGGTATATTAATTTCTTCACTTAATTAACTTGTGTCTACATTGGCAGAGAACATTAATTGATTCCTTGCTATTCAGTACATTCTTCGGCTATTAAAATAATTTATAGCCTGATCAATCTGGGACCACTAGATGAAAGTAGTATTTTTCCTTATATTTCTCCTATGTGTTCATTGAAATTTTAGCAATCACTTTTTTGGTAATTTAATTTTCTCCATGTATAATCTTCTAAGTTTTGCTTCTCTTTAAGCTGTAAAAGGCAAAATGGGATCATCATGGTATTAAAAATACCACCTGAAATTATTTATCATGTGTTGTTCTTACAAATCCATGTAAACTAAGTAATTTGGCATATCAAATAAAAGTCTAAAAGAAGTGGTTCTAATAGTGGAAGAGTAGGAAAGGATGCTGGTGTAGATAATATTGATACCAGAAATGTGAATATTTAGTTTATCTACTTGACTCTGGTGAATTGTTGATCTTTGGCCAACTTTAAATCTTTGATAAATCTTTAGTACATTTCAAATTTCTCTAGAAAAGTCCATAAATACTAATTCTATTTTAGTAGTAAATTAGTGGCAGGAAAGGCTAAAAAATGTGACTTTCACTGTGAGAACAAAGGTTTCATTTCTCAAAGTCTTTGCAAAGAGTTTTATATCCTTCCCTGACTGTATGCGGATAAGCTGAAACACTGAACCATTTTAGGAGCTTTTCCATTGAAGTGCACGGTAAGCACATACATTATTTCTATCAGCTTGACCTTTTATGACTCTTGCTCTCTTCAAGCATATTTCCCTAAATGTAAATACAGAACTTTAGCTTTTAAGTAGATAATTACCATAATTTTTATGCCTAAAATAACAGTACTAACTGGGAACTAAGGAAGGTATCCTAATGAAAACCTTCCGAAGCACGGTCAACAATTCCAGTGATCTCTGTGAGAATGCTTTTGTGCAAGAGCTCTGTGAGTTAAGGGGAACTCAACACACTTGACTTGGAGGAGGGTCAGGAGATGGTTAGGTGGTGCCTTGACCTCTCTCCTGTCATGCACAGAGATACTACATTTCCTTAGGCTACAGATGTACCCTCATGTTGCCGGCCGTCACCTTCTAGCACCACCTCTTCTTCCATCATAAATCAACTAGTTAGTGGCTGGATTCAAAGAAACTTTTAGTTTTATAAATAGATTGTATGTATATACGATGATATCTAATCATAAAAGAATGAAGTTTAGAAGTAACTCTGCTGTCAAAAATGTGTGGTATTCATGGTTATCCAGGAACAATTTTGAGTTTGAGATTATATAATACTGGCAGAGTGTTCATGCCATTTTTTGTTAGTTTCATCATATAGTATTTTAAAAGAGGGTGTGTTTGATGCTTAGAAGGGGATTTTATTGTACTTGTTCTCTGTATTTCTATTTATATAATCTCAGGAAGGAACTTATCTGTGCTCATTCATCCTGTATAGTGTTCATACATACTGAGTAGCTGTCACCTTCTGACTGGGCCCTTTTTCCATAGGGAGCTCATCACCACCCAAAGCAGGCCCCCTCCTGGCTTACGCTTCTGCCTGATAGAATGTGCTTTGTTATGATGCAGCCAGATGTACTCTCTGGAACTATTTTCTATTATTTTTATTTCTACCCCATTGTAGCCAATTTGTCTAGCATAACCATCTTGCACAAGTGAGTTATCTCTTCCCCCAATTCTTATATTAGTTTTTCTTGTTTTCAGGTCTTAGGTCTTCTTATCATTCTTTGACTTGCTCTGAGATGGTTATTCACAACTCTGAACTGAGAAGAAAATACAGAATGCTGTAGAAGTGTTGGAAGTAGATGGATGGCAGGGAGCTCTATGATGAGGGTACAAGACTCAGGGAATACGTGATTGTTGAATAGCTACCTTTATAATTAGTTCATTCAATGAATACATATTGAGCACCTAGGTACCTTGTAGAAGATGATGGTGCCTCTATTAGAGGAGGTAGATAAAGGATGAATGACTAATTAAATGTCAGGTTGTATTGAGAGTTACAAAGACCTAGAAAAGAAGGATAGAGGAGAAAAGGGAGCTGATTTTATTTAGGTGGCAAGGGAAGGCCTCTCTGAGAAGACACATTGAAGTAGATCCCTGAAGGAATTAGGGGAGTGAGTTACCTGGATGAGAATTCATTTATTCAACAGTTATTCAGTGCCTATTTATTGAACACTTTACAGATGATGCCAGGCACTATTCTGGGAGTTCAGGATACAGTTTTGGTGGGGTGGGAGAACCAGACAAAATTCCATGCCCAAGTGCAGCTAATTTTCTAGTAGAGAGAGGATATTTGGGGGAGAAGTGTTTCAGTTTGAGGGAAAAGGGAATGCAAAGGCCCTGAGGTAGGACCATGCTTGGTCTGTTCCAGGAACAGCAAAGAGGCCAGTGTATCTGAAATGAAGAGGTTCAGCTATGATGAACCAGAGAGGTAGTCAGAGTCTAGATCATGTAGGGCCTTTGGATTTTACCCTAAGGAAGATAAGAAGCCATTGAAAAGCTTTAAGCAGAAGAGTTGACATGATTTGACTTAATTATTTAAAAGACAATTATTTTGGCTGCAGTATATAATGCTTCAGGAGAGAGATAAGGTGGCTTATGCCAAAATATTACTGTAGAACTGGTGAGACTTGGTCGGATACTGAAGGTAGACCCACCAAGATTTGTGGTTGGGTTATAAGTGGGGTATGACACTAAGAGGAGTCAAGGATGACACCTAACCTCTGGATAATGAAGATGCCATTACTGGAGATGGATAAGACATTTAGGAGGGACACATTTGAGGAGGATATCAAAAGTTCAGTTTCAGATATGTTCAAGTGCACTGAAAATGAGAGAGGTCTAGTGCTACTATGTAATTTTGGAGTTGTTGGAATGTGGTTGGCATTTAAAACTTGGGGACTGGATGAAATCATCTAGGGAGTAGAATGTAAGTGAAAGAAGTCTGAGGATTGAGCTCTAGGGCTTTCCAGTGCTAAAAGGTCAACACTAGTGGGGGACAGACTAGCAAAGGAGTCTGAGAAATGGTCAGTGGCATAGGAGGAAAGCCAGGAGGGTGTGGTGTTCTAGGAACTAAGTAAAGAAAGTTTTTCAAAATCAGCCATGTAGGATGCTAAAGGTCAGTAGGATAAAACAAGCATTCAGAATCGACTATTGGATTTGGTCCTAAGGAGGCCATCGGGGACCTTGATAGCTATTTCTTTGGAGCAGGGCAGGCAAAACCTGACTGGAATGAGCTTAAAGGAGAAGAAGAGGAGAGGAAATAAAGACTTATCACCATCATCATTATCATCATCTTCATCAATTAAACAAACTGAGAGGCTGCTGATGCCAGGAGGCATGGCAAGATCTTGATATACAAAGATGATGAAACTGGTGCCTACCTTCTGAGAACTCAAAAAGAAATAGGGGAGTCAGGAAACAACTGATAAAGTGTACTTTATGCCACAGGCAGATAATGTGTACATGTTTAGATAACATTAACACAAGAAAGATGTTAATTCTTGGGAGACTGAGGAAGTTATAGAAAGGAGGTGAGAATGAGCTCAGACTTAAAGAATGAGGAGCACAGAGCTAGGCAGATGAGGGGAAGAAGGCTGGTAAGATAGGAGTGTCACTAGGGTGGGTGTAGCAGTGTGGCTGGGCATAAGGGGCATGGAAGATTACCGAGTGCTGAGGATGGCAAGATAGCTGGTGTCAATTGTAAAGAGTAATATGGTAGCAAGTTTACGGTTTTTCCTGTAAGGAATGGGTATTCATTTGAGACTTTAAACTAGGGTGTAGTGTGATCATGTCTCCACTTTAGAAAAATCAGCTGGGCATTATAGAAAAGTAAGCTAGTCAACTGTGTGGAAAGCAGAGCAAAACAGGAGAAGCTAGGGGAACTTTTAGAATAGTCCAATCAAGAATATGCTGGGAGGTTGGTCCTGATGAAGTAGTGACTTAAGAAAGAAACACATGAGGGAGGCTGGTGTCTGTTTAGGCATGAGGGCGAGGAGGAGGAAGAGGAGCCCTGAATGATTCCAAGGTTCCTCACTTGGACAGTCTGGTAGGTGGTAACTGAATAACCACCAGAATTAAGTAGTACAGGCAACCAGTTGAAACCAAATAGTATGTAATTTTGTGATTTTTTGGGGGGAGTGGGGAGGTTATTTCCTTTTTTAGTGGAAGGAAATAAATACTGGAGCTGTGGCATTAATTGTGTGGTTCCCTAATCCTAATTCTCCCCAAGGAAAATACAGTGCTCCCAAAATAGCTTTTAATGATTGAGTAGAGATTGAAGAGAGATAGTATCTTTACTAGAAGGAAGGATATGAAAAAGAACTAAAGAATGAAACCATTTCTAACTTGAAAGGTTTTACAATGTTTTATTTCCATTTTGCTGAATTTATAAACCTAACTTACACGCCCAGTCTTATGCATTTAATGTCTCTTATTCATATGGAAAATGTTGGAAATTTGTGACTATGTAATGGATCTTAAATAGATTTACACATTGTATATTTTAGATTTGATTGTATCCAATTTTTGTGCTGTAAGTTTTCTTTGAGGATCTTTTAAAGTTCAGCATGTGCCACTCTTGGGGCATCCTTTTATTCCCATTAACCATTTTCCTTCTCATCAATACTATGTTCCCAAACATATACAGTACAGTTGGTGCTGTTCAGCTTGTAACTACATTCTGGACCTGCCTTCTTGAGATTACACCATAGTTCCCTTGATTAAGGTCTGGGTCTGAAATGGTTAATAACACCATAATTTTGGATTTTGCGAGCTTGTTCCTTGAGGGGCATTCTCTTTTCCCTCATTTACAAGTTTTTGAAGGGTATCTTACTATTGTGTGTATGACACATCTGACAATTCACAAAGATTCCTTGAGTTGCCAACTTTAGGTCTTGCACAGATAATAGCATATAGAGTTGGATCATTTTCACTTGTATCAAGAGGTCAGTTCCAGTAGTTAGAAAATGTAAAAAGAAAGAAGAATGGAATCTAAATGTAATTAATATATATCTAAGAGCGTTTTAATTATAGTTTCAGTTTTATAAAATCACATGGCTTATTGCTATGAGATTTGCTATTTCAGGCTATGTCTGTTTGTTGTATTTTCAGGAAGTTTCAGCTGACCCTACTGCCACACTCACAGCAGCAGAAGAGAGAAAGGAGAAAGTGCCGAGTCCACACCTCAGTCACCTAGTGGTTTTGACATCTGGGGATACATTGTATGGGTTGGCAGAAAGAGTGATAGCCACAGAATCCTTGTAAGTTGTTAAAAACCATTGCTTTATCATTAAATATTTAAGAAAGGTTATAAAATTAATCATTATGTAATTAGGCTTCTAGCTGTATGCATCTCCCACTTGTAAATATCACTTGTATTTCTGAGAAGCAAGTCCTAAAGTAGATTACCAATCAGTTTTTAAAACTGCGTGGTTAGTTCTCAGTTATGTAAATGGAAGGAGGGAAATGTTTTAACTTTCAAAATTTAGCAACATGATCCTTGCTTTGAGTAAAAAATTAAAAAAAGATGGTGTAGTGTACTTTACATTTTCCTATGGAATTGTGACTCTGGAGAAACTGTAGTTACACTGTTAGTGTTCAATATAGTTGACTCTTGACATCAGCAAGAATGTTTCCTGACCTTTATAAATTCCCCAATTTTTTAAACAATTAAAGCATGTAACTTCTATATAATGTGGTTCAATATAACTTGAGAGTTTTTGTGTTTATAACACAAAGTAGAAAAGAACAGTGCAGCTGCCAGCAGTCTTCCAACCAAATGACTCCCACTCTTGGAACCAGTCTCATGACCTGAGGTTCACTTGCACATCTCAGCCAAGTTACAGTTGGTTGCATGGGGTTACTTTTGAAATACTAAATCTGTGAATTCAAGGGTCTGATGTGTATAATTAAATGGGATATTTAAAAGAAATTCTTTCAAAAATTACTGTTGTATTTTTTCTTCAGCTTGCATGTTCTCTGTGCTTACCTGTTCTGTGCTGAGTCAGCATGCCTCCACCGTGTGTGCACATCAGATCCTTTGAAGTCACCCCTCGTCCACCTTAGCTCACATCCTGCAATAAGCTTGCATTAATTTTTGTGTAGATTGTACATGAGTGTGTCAGGTGGTGGTACAAGGTAGTTCACTAAAGTGAAAATAATTTTAATTGTTAAACTTTTGCTTAGAAATATTAAAGATTACTTATGCAAAAATATTGGCAGGCTTTAAATCCTGCACTTGCTTATGTGATGGGTCATTTATTCCTTGTAGGGTATTCTTGGCTGAACAGTTTGAGTTCCTTCAGCCACATCTGGATGCTGTGATGCCTGCAGTCAAAAAGCCTTTTCTTCAGCAGTTTTATTCTCAGGTCAGAGATGGTCTTGTGTATCATTTCAACTGTGAGCAAGTTAAGACCTACACATTATTTAGTCTTACTTTTTAAACTAGTCTCCAGATCCCAGGAGAGATGAATTAGAATATCGTTTATTCACTCATGAATTCCTGCATTAAATAAGTACTTACTGATCACCTCATATATCTTTTAGTCTAGTGAGAGAGCAAGCCAATTAAAACTATTTACAATAAAATACAGTAAAGGGAAAGAAATAAAGATGGTGTTTAACCTTTACTGGAGGAGCAAAGAGGGTGTGATTGGGAGAAGGTTGTCTAGAGAGGCTGTCTAGAGGAAGTGCTGTTTAAACCGGGCCAGTTGGATGAGTTGGGATTTTTTTCCAAACCAAGGGAATGGCTTATGTAAAGACCAGCAGAGGAGAGAGAGCACAGGGGTGCATGTGAGCAGCTGAGGGCCACTCAGCTTGTGAGAGTAAGGACAAGGGCTACTTAGGAGAAAGATAGCTGGAGTGGTTAGCAGGAGCCGCATGGTGTGCAGCATTCTCAGCCAGGGCTTGGACTGTATTCCCAGGGTACTGGGAAACTACTGGAGGATTTGAAGTAGGTGAGTGGCATGGTTTTGTCAGGTGTGTGTTTTAGAAAGAGTACTTTGGGGGCATTGTAAAGAAAGAACTTCAGATGGCAAGGCTAGGGGCAGGGAGACCAGCTTGAAAGCTGTTAGAGAAATACAGTTAAGAGATGATGGAATCTTGAGCTGGGGAAGTGGGAGTGGAAATGGAGAGAAGTGAAAGAAAAATGTGCTGAAATCCATGATAATCTGTAGTTCTTTTATAGTTGTAGGGTCAGTAGCCTCATGTTCACTGAATGTCTCAAAATTATGTTTTGAGTCAGCCCTTTCCTGCAAATCAAAGTAGTTTCATAATTTAAATCTCCAAATGTGTTTTATTTGCAGATGTGATGTATGCTAGAAATGGGAGCAAATATTCATTAAAAATTTTATGCTGTTAGAAAACATTTGTTTTCATTTCTGTGAAATTTATTTCAGACAATCTCAACTGCCAGTGAACTACGCAAACCAATTTACTGGATTGTAGCTGGTAAAGCTATTGATTATGAACAGATGCTACTCCTAATGGCTAATGTGAAATGGGATGTAAAGGAAATTATGTCACAGCACAACATATATGTAGATGCACTGTTAAAGGCAAGTACTCTGGGAAATGTCTTTGTTAAAGAGGATTCTACTAAAAGAACTATTGTTGTAATTGCAGTAGTTATAAAGTAGTGAAATTATAGCTATTCCCACGTTTCTAGCATTTTGATATTAAAGTCCCTGAACAGGGACTTTGTGAATTTTGTATTCGTTTAACCGAAGAATACTTTGTAGATTTTTTTTGGTTTTGCTCATTAATTGCTCATTTAGGGTTTGATTGGCATGTCTT